CTCTCTCTCTCTCTCTCTCTCTCTCTCTCTCTCTCTCTCTCTCTTTCTCTCTCACTTTTTCTTGTCTTCTGACAGTGAATTGCAAATGGATGTCCCTTTAATGTATATTATCTAAAAACAAGGACATTGTCTTATACAGCCCTAGTATAATGATCAAAATCAGGAATACAGAATTGTTATTTAATCTACTAATTTTACTTGGATGTCACCAATGGTCTCAGCAGTGTCCTTTGTAGGTAACAAAGAAAATCTCTTATTTTCTCAGATGATAAACATGGAGATGGCGCCCTATTTTTTACAATTAATTGTCATGTCTCTTTAGTCTTGTTTAAACTAGAACAGTTACTCAGACTTTCTTTGACTTCTATGACATCGTGTTTTTTGAAGAGTACAGGTCAGTTATTATGTAAAATGCTCCTTAATTTCAACTCACCTGATGTTTCCTCACAATAAGATTCAGGTAACCCACTTTGGCAGAAATACCACAGAAGACAGGCCATATTCTTCTCAGTGCATCATCAGAGACACTTGTTGGTCATCAACCCCATTACTGATAACTTTGGCCACTTGGTTAAGATAATATCTACTGTGAAACATTTTTTCTCATGAAGTAAAATTTACATCCAGTGATGAATTTTGTTGGCTACATCAATATAACCAACACCGCAATCAAGATTACATGCTGTTTGCAATTTGCTTTTTTTGTTAAAAATATTATGTATACATCTTCCCATATGCGCTGGTGTAAGTTTTTGTCAAGTGTTTTAGAGGAAGGTGCCAGAGTTTACTTACTTTAGATGAGCTTGGAAGAACATGGCCTTTGGAGTCACGTAGTTTTGGGGATCAATTTCTGCTCTGATACTTGTTACCCTGTGTAGGGTGATTTTTTTTTAGTTAAGTCTTAATTTTTTCATCTTTAGTATGGGAAACCTAATAACTATTACAAGTAAATTTTTTAAAAAAAGGAACAGACCAGTAGAGAAACTGGCAAAGGATCTGAATGCACCATTCACAGAAGAAAACGGCCATTTGTGGAGTCACTAAACCCATGAAAAGATGTCCAGCCTCACTGATGACCAAAGAGATGCAAATCAGAGCAACCATGAGCTAAATTTTCAGCTGTCAGATTGTCAGAGATTAAAGATTCATGATACCTGGTGTTGGGGAAAGTTTAGCGAAGTGGGTACGCACACCCACCGTTGGTGGGTATGTACACTGGCTCTGTATTTTTGGAGGTAGTTTGGCCTGTTTGTTAAAATTGTAAATGTTTAGAACCTCTTATTCCAGTAGTTACTCTTTAATGACTTATTCTGCGTATGTACCTGCACAAGTGGGCAAAATACGTGTATCATTGCAGTATCCTATCAAAGCGGAAACAACCCAAATGTCCAACAATAGGGAATTGGTTATGATACTGCCATGCAAGGAAATACTGCTCAGTGAAATGAAAGCAGTGAGGAAACTCTATTCTGATGACATGAAAACGTGTTCACAATGAAGTGTGAAGTGAAAAAAGTAAATTTTAAAATAGCACCTGGACTTTTATTGGAGTTTCCTTTCAATGGCAAAGATGTTGTGATTTAGCAATACCACAATTTGCTGGTGACGTAAGTCTGTGATCACAGCTAAGCCAGGACCACTTTTGCTATGTGCAATAAGCAGATTTTTCAAGCAGTTACACTTCATCAGGCCATGTTATTCTGAGGTGTTCCGGGGTGGTGGATATGCCTGAGGGCAGGCAAGCGGCCATACTTGTTATGAACACTTTATAAAGGCTAGAACTGGGAGCAGCACAGTCATTTCATTAACAAAGCGATGAGCCCTGTTTTAAGATCAGTTAGGAAGGTAGCATGCGTGTTATTTTAGGTGCTGTGGAGTGCCGGAATTCATTTATTCGTTCAACAAACATTTCCTGAGCAGCAGTTGTGCCTCAGGCATTGTGGTGAGGGCTGGAGCTACTACTACCTTCATGTAAACAAATAATTACTCCAAGTATTACGGAGGGTATGGTAATAGGAGATAGTAACTCGCATGGGTCACTATAATATTGATACAGAGGAGCCATTGACAGCATTACAATAGACGCTCTCTGAGAGCAGGGACTGTTCTGTTTGCAACCTCGTGAACCGTGCTTGGCACACAGTTGCCTCATGTATGGAGTTTGTTAAAAGAATGAATGAATGAATGAATGAATTTATCTATCAAGTCAGTGTTCCAACAGATAACAGAAGCCCCACTCATTAGGATAATTTGTGGAGGCCAGATAGTTGTGTGTGTGCTGTAGGAGAACTGCAGGGGGTGGTGCTGGAACTCAGGAAGATGGACAGGTGGTGTCACACTCCTAGGCTGGAGGGCCAGAACGGATGAGAGGAGTCGGGTTACAGGAACTGGGAGGGAACCAGCCTCACTCTCCCCCAACCCACCCCATCTCCTGCCTAATCTACCCTTGAGCCAGAGGGTAGAGAGCCTGTTGCAGTCCACAAGCAGTCCACCTCCACTAGGGTGCCATAGCACCTCTGAAGATATCTGCCACAAGCTCCCAGGGCCTGGCACTTACATGCATTGCACCAAACTCTACAAATAACCATGTGAGATGAGCAGTTTCATCCCCATTTTACAGCTGAGGAAACAGAATAGGATTAATTAGGTAACTTGCTCACGTTATAATTAGTCAGACGCAGAACTACTATTCTAAGAAGCGCCAACACATTTGTGGAGACTGATGCCCAAAGATGGGCCACAGTGACTGTAAAGATAAGACAGCAGTGTGGCCTGATGGCCAGAGCCTTGGAGTCTACTGATGGACTGGATGGCTGGGACTGGATGGAGGGGCAATTTACTCCTCTGGGCTTCAGTCTCTCCATCTGTAAAATGCGGTAGTCGACATCTTTGAGGATTTATGTGAGGATTAACTGAGATGATTATAGATTGATTGGTGCTTGGTAGACTCCACTAAATGGTAGGTGTTATCAAAAGAAAACCCCAATCGGGCCGGCCGAGTGGCGCGATGGTTAAGAACTCACTTGGGATGCCAGAGGGCCCCGGTTCGGATCCCACATAGGAGGGCCAGTGACACTGCCCTCCACAGCTAAGATGCTGAACAACAGCTCA